TTGTGCCACTGCACTCCAGCCTGGGCTTCAGAGTGCAACTCTGTCTCAAAAAACAAAAAACAAAAAACAAAAAAAAAAAACAAAAGCAAATTCTTGAATCCCACGCCACTCCTGCAAAATCAGAAATGCTGGGGGAGCCCTCCAGGTGTTTCTGGAGCGTGCTAAAGTTTGAGAAGCACCATTCTACTCAATTCCATTTAGCTGCTTTTCAAACGGACCTATATTCTTGGTTCTTTTCTGTTCTTTTTTCTTGAGATGGTGTCTTACTCTTGACCAGGCTGGACTGTAGTGGTGCAATCTCCACCCTCCAGGTTCAAGCTATTCTCCTGCCTCAGCCTCCCGAGTAGCTGGGACTACAGGTGCGTGCCACCATACTCGGCTAATTTTTGTATTTTCAGTAGAGATGGGATTTCACCATGTTGGCCAGGCTGGTCTCAAACTCCTGACCTCAAGTGATCCACCTGCCTTGGCCTCCCAAAGTGGTGGGATTACAGGCATGAGCTACCATGCCTGTCCATATTCTTTTTTTTCTAAATATCTCTTTGTGTGTACATAATAAAAAATTAAATAGTACAGCACATAATAAAAATATTCAACACTTGCCCTCCCTAGAAGCACACTGAACTTTTCTCTTTTTAATTCTAAAGAATAAGCTAAGTAATATTCTTATATGCCTATTTTGAAATGTACTATCTTGGTGTCCATCGACTCCATACTCTAAGAGATGAAAATTTAGCTAGCCAACTCTTCCACTTAACTGTTACATTATTTTTAAGTTCTACTTGTTTCCTATGTTTTAAAAATCTACTCAATCCTCTGTAGTTCTAATACTTTCCAACAACTTTTTATTTCAATTTAAAAAAAATCACACCTATTCACTTACGTAATTTTTTTTTTTTTTTTTTAAATTTTGAGACAGGGTCTCCCTCTGTCATCCAGGCTGGAGGCACGATCTTGGCTCACTGCAACCTCTGCCCCCCGGGTTCAAGCAGTCCTCCCACCCCAGCCTCACCAGTAGCTGGGACTACAAGTGCATGCCACTATGTATGACTAATTTTTGTATTTTTTTTTGTACAGATGGGGTCTCACCATGTTGTCTAAGCTGGTCTCAAACTTCTGGGCTCAAGTGCTCTGCCAGCCTCGACCTCCCAAAGTGCTGGGATTATGGGTGTGAGTCACGCGCCTGGCCCATTTATATAATTTTAAAAGTCAAAATGATTCTATAGTATTTAATGAAAGAGTCCTTGCTCCTTTACCCCCATTACAGATTCTTACTCCCTAAAAGCAACTACTTTCAACGGTTTCTCCTAGTATTTGCTTCCATGTTCACGTTGCCCAGGCCAGAATGCAGTGGCGAGATCTCGGCTCACTACAACCTCTAACCCTGGGGTTCAAGTGATTCTCCCGCCTCAGCCTCCTGAGTAGCCAGGATTACAGAGGTGTACCACCACGACCGGCTACTTTTTTGTATTTTTAGTAGAGACAAGGTTTCTCTATGTTGGCCAGGCTGTGCTTCCATATTCTTAAATAACAGTTTTACTTCTACTTCTTGATTTAAAAATTTTTGATATCTAATTACTTCTTATTGTGGAAGATAAAGATTTAACTCACATTTTCCTTCTACCAAAACACCACAAATCCCCATGCTACTAATAATTCATGCAGCCAGGCGTGGTGGCTCATGCCTGTAATTCCAGCACTTTGGGAGGTCAAGGCAGGCAGATCACTTCAGGTCCGGAGTTTGAGACCAGCCTGGCCAGCATGGTAAAAATCCCATCTCTACTGAAAATACAAAATTAGCCGGGCATGGTGGTGCATGCCTGTAGTCCCAGCTACTTGGGAGGCTGAGGCAGGAGACTTGCTTGAACCCGGGAGATGGAGGTTGCATTGCACTCCAGCCTGGACAACAGAGTGAGACTCCGTCTCAAAAAAATAAAATAATAATAATTCATTCATACTAATGTTTGGTTATATTGGTTTTTATTATTATGACACTATAGTTACATAATGTTATTATTTACTTATTTAGAGCTGGGTGACAGAGTGACTATGAGTGCAGTGCTGAGTGTGGTGCTATGATCATAGCTCACTGCAGCCTCA